CGCGTCTGAGACCGTGTAGCCCATTTCCCGTAGCTTATTTACCAATTTAACATACCAAGCCCGGCTGGCTTGCCGTAAGCCGTACAACGCCTTCAACAACCGACACTTTAGACCACGCTCGCCGGTCACAAAACCTTCAGGCTGATCAACGTAAACTACCTCATCCAAATCGCCATGCAAAAATGCTGTGCGGACGTCGAGATGGTGGACCTCAATTCCTTTGGCTGCAGCTTTGGAGAGAAAGGCGCGTACGGTAGCATGATTGCTTGTTGGAGCAAAAACTACATCATAGTCCACGCCCTCTACTTGCATATATCCTTTTGCAACAAAACGCGCTTTATAAGGTTCTACCTCACCATCGGCGCCACTCTTTACTTTATAGACCCAACGGCCTGGTACAACGTTGGCGTCCGGGGGCGGGTGCTCTAAACGCCAAGTGCCTAGCCGGTGCAGCGATGTGATTTCCTCCTCCATTGCCTCCCACCACATATCGGCCTGCGGTGACTTGATGGCTTCTTGAAATGACGTGGGATTGGGTGAAAGGATTGCTGCCGCTGCAATCAGTCGCTCAGGAGCCTTACGGTCCCTAGTACTTCTCCGTAGGCCTGATGTTGATGCAACTGGAGGATTTGATATCTCCCCCGCAGGTGCATCAGCATCGGCCACCTGCTCCCCCGCATCCTCAGCACTCTCATCCCCCGCATCTTCTGCAGTCTCATCCCCCGCATCATCAGCCAGACCTACTGCATCCTCATCCTGGTCGGCATCCTCTAAGAGCTTTCTTGTATTGGAAACAGAAGAAGCTGAGACAGATTTGCCATCATCCTTGGCATGCACATTCACCACACTACCCCCCTTTGACTCGTCAAATTTTACGTTGCACGACACAACAACCTTGCCGTCTTCAGGTAGGTAAATGCGGTAATTGTCCATGCTGTCATAGCCAACGAAAATTCCCTTCCGACTTACTGGATCCAACTTAGTGCGGTGTTGCCTTTCTTCATACACCCATGCCGTGCAGCCAAAAACGCGCAAAACCGATACGTCCGGTTTGTAGCCAAAAAGAAGTTCATGTGGAGTAGCGTTCTTGTTGCTGACTGGAGAGCAGTTGCGTACAGCATTGG